TTTTACCCTGTCGTAGCTCAGTCGATTAAGGCAGTGTCTGGGATGCTCCCGGACGCAGATTCGAATCCTCATCATGGCCCTTGTGGATTTGTTCAATGTTACACACATACTTAAAATATTTATGTTAAACTACTCAAATCTTTTGAAATTGAAGGATTGAAACAAACCATTGACATGTGAATTTCATATAGTTTCAACACACGAAAAGAAATGCATACTGCCAGATACATTAATTAATCCTTAAAATGCCTTAAATTTTACCGGTAATTAATTGCCTAAAATGCTTAAACAGAGGTAGGCACCTCTCAACAGGGGATGGGCATTTCTCTCTCAATAGGGGGTGGCATCCATCTCAACAGGGGATGGGCATCTCTCTCTCAACAGGGGATGGGCATCTCTCTCTCAACAGGGGATGGGCATCTCTCTCTCAACAGGGATGGGCATCTCTCTCAACAGGGGATGGGCACCTCTCTCTCAACAGGGGATGGGCACCTCTCAACCGGGGTGGGCACTTCTGAATGCCATTCCTACACATGCCTATACGCTGTAAGATAGGGGCCTCCTGGTGGGGGGGGGATAGGGAGTAATGTGCATGGGGACAATAGGCAAGGCTACCTGAAAGTGGGAAGTCTTGTATTACCCTTGTATATATACAGCCTGTCATACTTTAGCATAATGGCAAATACTAAAATGAAAATGACATTAATTTAAATTTATTAATACAAAATGCCAGTCCTTAAAACACCTAGAGATTGACAAGTGAGCGGGAGCAATATTGCTGAAAAGTCAAGTGAAGGAGTGAACTGTGATGATCGTATTGGAGGGTTTATATTATTAATGGGGTGATTAATCCGAATCAGTATTGAGAATTGGAGGAACTGAGCATTTTTCAGTACTGTACTGTAATCAGAATAGAGAAATACATCATGGTTTCTAATTGTTAAAATGATAATTTAAGACTTAATGAGAAAAAAAACCAGTGTTGAATATACAGTAATGAAACACCATTTTCTGGGTGAGCCCCGGAGGCTCCCTGGCAAACAGCTCCGGGTTTGGCTCCCCACAGAAAATGTTGTTTCAGGTAATAATTAAATTGTGTTTTGTAGATTAAGATCATAGATTCACTTCTGGCTGCTTTGTATATATTTCTGTGGGGAGCCCCTTCAGCTCCCTGGAGCTATCGCACTAATATGTGATATACAGTATTAGGCTAGGGCCTTAGTCAATGGAGTTGAGCCTACCAGGGACCACAAGCCAGAACCTGGCCCCCCATCTGAGAGACACAGGGAGCAATGGCTCCTGGAAAACCCCCTTATGGTTGGGGGGTTTTCCTAATCTGCCATTGACTAGGGACAGGCACCCAGAAAGGTAGGTATAACAAAACAAAACCTCACATGGTAAGAAACCCCCATATGGCATTTCTGGTCTCCTCCTCCTCCTTTGGGAGGTTTGGGGCTAGTGGGGCAAACCTCTTTCCCTGCGCTCTGTTAGGTCATCTCAGAGTAGGTGCGCTTGGGCGTGGTCAAAACAACCCCATCCCTCGGGTGGGTTTCTCGTCTGTTTTCCAGTGCCGAAACAGGACTGTGCAGATCTGCTGTTAATTCTGGACTTGTCCTGTTTGAACCTCCTGAGTTCCTTGCCCCCTCTTTTCGGATGAACACACTTGTCTCAAGTCAGACTTCTGTTGGAGCCGGGTTCCTGGATGGTGTCCTGGACCTCAGGGGCGCGTATTGGCACGTTCCAATTTATGTGGTTCAGGAGGACTGGTTAGGTTTTGTGGTGGGGCATCAGGCTTACCACTTTCATTGCCTTCCTTTTGGCTTGAATCTAGCACCTCGCTTATTCACAAGTCTTACCAGGTCGTGGTGACCCATCTGCATCTGCTAAGGGTTTGGGTTCTGTCCTACCTTGACGACTGGCTGTTATGGGCTCCCATCCGGTCTGCTTGTCTGCTCACCAGGGGTGTGGTTCTTTTCCAGCTCGCTGGGTTTGGAATTCCTAGTGAACTAGAGGAAGTCCCATCTAGTTTCGCCCCAGGTTTGGATCTGGTCGGATCTTGTTTGGGACTCTCAGACCGCTTCCATGTCTCTCCCTCCAGAGGCATTGCTGCCGCTCTGGTCCCGCCTTCAGCTGTTTCTGGGGGGTCCCGGGTCACTTGGCAATTGCTCAAGCAGTTGTGCGGGAGTCTGAACTTTGTCATGCTGGATTACCTGCTGTACCGGGTTGGCTTCGGTGTCTGTTCTGGTTCCTTTGGGGACACCCATCCATATCTCTTGTAATCGCTGGGTTCAGGCTCGGTGCCTTGGCACCTGAGCCCTTGATTGATGTGTTCACGGATGCCTCGTCTCTTAGCAGAGGCCTTGTGACCAGTGCTCACCAAGCCTGCAAGAGGCCATTGGATCTGTCTTTCCGTCAGGCTTAGAGCGCGGTGTGGGAGTTCACAGCAGTTTGGCTGTCACTTCAGAGGGTGCGGGTCATTCAAGGTTCAACTATCCGGCTCCATTCGGACTTCTCCGGTGGTTCATTGCCTTAACTGCAGGGGTTCTCTTCGATCCTTGCCTCTTTGGGGCTGGTTTCTTCGAGTGGCTCGTCTGCTGGTTTCTCGGAGTTTGTCTCTTCATGCAGTTCATTTCCGGGGAGTTCCAACATTCTGTCATCTCAGTTCATTCCCCTGTCCACGGAATAGACAGTCGATACCAACTCCTTCAGTTGGCTCTGCCGGAAGTGGACCTCTTCACTTCGGCATGGTCGAGGCGTCTCCCGATATATGTGGTGCCCTTCCCGAACTGCAGAGCCTTCGCTGTGGATGCCATTCGGCAGAATTGGTTGCGGTGGGGTAACCTGTACCTCTCTCCCAAGTCTAACTTCTGCTGCGGGTTCTGTCGTCTTACTGGAGAATCGTCCTAGTGGGCTCTTGGTGGCCAGCTCGGCTTGGTTTCAGGCTCTGTATGCTCGGTGTCCCAACCCGGGACATTTTCCGAGGCTGTGCCTCTTTCAGATTGAACCGGTCCGGTACATGGCTGGTTCAGTCTTCTCCTCTGCTCTTCATATCTGTTTTTTTTTTATGCGGGTTTATCACCATTTGTACGGTGATCAGATGGCTTTGTTGGCGTCCCACCTGAGAGCTTCATCTCGGCGACTGTAGGAAGTTTCCTGGCATTTTTTCCGCCATTTTCTCTCTCTTCGTAGGTTGTCTTCTACAGTATTTCTGATCGGGTTGTCTTGTCCCCCTCTTTGTTGGCTTTTTCAGGACGGTCATTTGATGCCTAATACTGTCGCCTCGTATCGTGTGGAGCGCTTGGGCTTCAACGTATTGTCACTCCAGCATGGATTCGGTGTGGATGTCACTTCCGGCCCGTTTCGTAAACTTTTTCGTGCTTTGTTTCACCTCCGGCCTGCTCATGCACTGGCTGAGCCGTCCTGGCCCTTGGACAGGGTGTTCTCCTGTCTCTCTTCTCCTCGGTTTGTGATGGCCCCTTCTGTTTAAGAAGGTTTCTCCAGGGCTCTCTCTCTGTTGGCATGGGCCTCTGGGGGGGTCGGGATGGTGAGCTTCATGCTCTCCTCCGGTGCAGGGGTTTCTGCTGTTTGAGTCCTTCGAAAGGACGCTTTTCGGTTTCGGTCCTTTCGGTCTCTTTGCAGCCTTCTCCTCCTTATTTTCTGGAGAAGACCAAGATGACCACTTTCCGGAGGGCTCCTTGGGTCATTGATGCTTGGAGGGTCAGGCCGGGGGTGCATCATGTATTATCTGGTTGTGACTCGTTGCTGTTATCTGCGCGCCTCGGCTTCAGTGACCGGGATGCACTTTGGGTGGATCCGGTTTTCCCTCGGATCAACCCAAATGGTGATCCGCGACGCCTGTTCCAGGGCTCAGGTCTGTCAGGTTGTCTGCAGGGTTAAGTTAACTCTAGCCAGCTTGTGGTCTATCCTTGTGACCAGGACATGCATAAGTTTGCTGCTTTGGCATTGACTCATGCCGTAGTGTTATATATCGCATATTTGCCCGATAGCTCCAGGGAGCCTCCGGGGCTCACCCAGGAAATGGCATTTAATTACATTTAATTCTTGTTTTTGTAAATACTTGTACTGTGTTATATATGATAATGTATTATATAAAATAATGTCATATTTGTGTATGTTAAAGTTTTTAAGCTGTGTGCAATAGTTTACATCTATTAGGTGAATGCTGCTAACTTAGCCACATCTAGACACCCAATGTCAGCTGGGGCTTGGGCAAATAACCCTCACTTAATCAAACATTTTTGGTTCCAATGGATAATTTTATGAAATAAATTATTCAGAGCATCCAGGAAAATGTTTAAAAGGATATCTGATCAACCAGGCTATGACTCATACATCTGGTTGCAAGCAGCCACATTGAACAGCCTGGTTGATCAGATTAGCAACCAGGTCTAGTCAGAGACCAGGCCACGAGGACGCTGATCCCTGGAATCAACATTTAGACATTTAGATAGGTAGGGGAATCTTGACAAGCCAAAAAGGCTTCTTATCCCCAATAATGGGAAATAAAACTGCCATTTGTTTGCCGAGGGCAAATTTTTTTGTTTTCTTTTAACAAATTCTTATTTCCCAGTTCAAGCAAGGGATGACTGCTACTCATTTACAATAGCCATTTTACATCATGTAAAATCTTTTTATATTAATCTACTCATTTTACATCATGTAAAATGATTAGATAAATGTTTAGGGATGGTACTTGTTTTGGTCACCAAGACAATTCTGTATATACATACTGTACATTGAAATGTCTCAGGAATGTTTGAACATGGGTGCTTCCATGGGGTTGGAAAACTTTGAGGAAACACTGTGTCAAGGACATAGATTAACAACTTCATATTTTTGAGCTTATATATTTTGCCTTTATATTTGATAGTTTTTCAAATCATCGATAGTTAAAGTGCTTTATATTAAATATTTGGTATGTTGTAATTTAAACAAAGATTGAATTTTATCCATTAATATTGTCTTTTATTTTTTTATAGATAATAAGGTTTATATATGGCATCATCGGAGAGAATTGCCTGTTGTTACCCTTGTTGGACACACTCGGACAGTCAACTGTGTGACGTGGAACCCTCGCTACCCAGCCATGGTAGCATCTGTATCAGATGATGCTACAGTTCGAATATGGGGACCTGCACCACAGTATAGAGGGACATCATCAAGCCAAAATGGCACAAGTGCCACTTCCAATGGTAAAGTGGAAAGCTAATTGTAAGAAAATTTGTATTATTAAATTTTAGTCTTAATCCCTGTACAGTACAATACACCAGTTTCAGGCGACAATTCCATGGTGCACATGAAAAAAAAAATTCTTTCTAATATTGTTAAAATGCATTCCCAGGTCATGGGAAAGTTAAAAAAAAAAAATGTAGCTTTGTGGTGGAGAGAAGGAAATGACGTCACCAATTTATGAACGATGGTGGATGAGATACCCTGTGAAGGTCGCCCAGGCCAGGCAGGTAGTGGAAGTTGCTACGAATATATTTATATTTATTTATTTCAGTGTTACTGATTTGTTTTTCACTTGTGTTTTTGCAGTTAAATTAGGCAGTATTGTGTAATTTGAGAAAATTCAATAATAATACATGCAGAACACCAATACACACAAATACAGTAGTGTCGCTAATATGCACACAATATTATAAAACAATAAATAAATAGTTCAGCATAGTGCCACACACATTACTGGCAGATGATGCAAATGCATCATGTCATACAGTACTATGCACAATGCTAATTCTAAGAACAATGTTACTATTATCAGCATCCTGGTAACAGTGGTGTGTAATTTGATAAATTTACATAATAAAATATGTAAAACATCACTATACCAAAAAAATATAGTGCACATATTAGTGACATGATTATATTCATAGAACAAGAAAAGGATGCTTTTGCTTTTATTTTACTGTATATAAACTATATACAGTATGTAACTACTGTATCTACATTTATATTTACCATAGCAAACCATTAAGCTGGTTTATGTATTTAAGCAAATGGTTTATGTATTTAAGCAAAATTTATAAACATTAAGCAAATATTTAGTATTTTAGTATATGTAGTATTATAGTTTAGTATTTTTTGTGTAGTAGTTGTACATCACATAAGCATTGTAGATAGCCATATGCACAAAATAGATGGTCATTTTGTTCATCCATTTGTGAGTTTTCCTTATGAAGTGATATTTGATCATTTGGTCAAAGTGATCAACACCTTTCATGTTTGTATTGTAGTCACAGATTGCATTCGGCTTGTTGACAGTTACCAAACAGTCCCAAAGAAATCGGATAAAAACCTGATTTTTGGCAATTATTTTGGTGGATGACGCAATGCTGCGTCATCCCCGAGTTTACCAACAGTAAACGGATGACGCAATGCTGCGTCATGCCTGGGTGAAAGTGTTAACAAGTTACCTTACATGCCTCTTTATGCTTTAGATAGTTTTGCCATTCATTTCACGGGTACCTTCCCTGATGCCATTAGCTCTGATCATTGACCCCTTACCTTACATGCTATGTTTCTTGGTGGGACCCTTTGGTGGCTCCCTGTTCCCACCCGATTGGTTAGTTCCACTCAATTAGTCATCCAAATTGTAAATAATTAAAATCCTGCTGAGGATCAGAGGCCAAAACCTGGCCCTTCTAATGAGGCACAGCAAGGTGAGGGTACTATACTCCTCAGGCTGAAAAAACACTACCAGAAAGGTAGAACAAAACAAAACACGCAAATCTAAACAGCTTGCAAAATTATCCACCCAGTAGTCAGGTCATTCACACTAGTAGCAACTGCCCACCACTATGTGGCAGCACTAAGAATTATACGGGTTCCGTATAATTATTCGGTCATTCACTTTGCAATGATATATTGATGTCGCTTCTGCTCCTCAAATCGCGTTATACTATTCGGATCCCGGTATTACACATAAGTGAAAGCCATCCTGCAGATGGTCCATTTGCCTGTGTATTTGTTCCTTCTTTTTAAATTAACTCTGTGCATTTGTTTCTATGCCTTATTGTATGGACTCTGATAAATTGTTTACCATGAAGTGAATGAGGTTAGTGTTTACTTCCATAGGTGCTTGAGGATGTTGCCCCTGCCCATATAGGGTTGTCTTTCCTGGTGGGTTCAGGTATCCATCCCTGAAAGGCTTGCCTATATACAGGTATTCCAAGGTTACATATATTGCCCAAGCAGTTGCTTGTTTTGGTGTGAGCGTCACCCTTGCAATCCTATGCTATCTCCAGTTTATTTAGATGATACATAGCTGAATCGTTTTCTGCGTTAAGTGATGATGCATCTCATACAAGTATCATAGATGAATAGTGTTAGCGGCTTCCATGTTGGTGTTTTCCATAGATATTTTCAAGAATACCTGAATCTCTTCCTGACTGACGGACACTCTTTGAGGCTAACTGAATCTCTCTCTGACGGACACTCTTTGAGGCAAGCTGAATCTCTTCCTGTATGGGACCATACAAAGCAATCTTTTCAAGACTACCTTACAAATTGATCTTTTCAATACAGTACTACCTTATACCTTACAAGCTTGGCTACATACAAACTACAAGTACTAAGGCCAAGGGTGTACGTGAGTGCGTTATTTGCAAGCACACATAATGAAGAAACAAGAAATGAAAATTTATTTGTACCTGCAGCAACGAGAGCGAAGTCACACTGTGCACCTTGGACTACTTTGTTGATTATTACTCACTTCCGAAGTACTGAGTGTGTCATACAGTGTGTTACTGTGTAAACAGTTTGTGAAACTGTAAATATTGTAATTTTAGTGAATTTTTAACAAGGAATATTGCCCTATTGTCCACAATAAACATTTATTGTGGACACATTACTGACACATGTATCACAGTTCCATGGAACATTATGAACGTTCTACTGTATACATATTGTAAAGGGCACAAATATGCATCATATACGATAAAAAAAATAAAACAAAACCGCATTGGAAATACATAGAACAAATAATTTAAAATATATTTGTGGCAACACCCGGTGCTTGAATGGCCCGCGCGACCGTGTCTGGGCGATTCATGCATGGGCGACCAGGCCCTGATGACGTCACAGCGCATCTTGTCCACGTCCCCACAGTCAAAGTAAGTGGAATTTGGTATTTATTTTTACATATTTATTTTTATTTTGGGAACACTTTATTTCATGCGCACAGGAGGAAATTTCGCCATAAACTCGGCGCAGCACGGTGGTTAAGTACTTTCGTATTTAATAATACATCTTCAGAAGAGTGAAGATGTATTACGACCAACTTTTCCTAACAACGGCAAACAGGCCAAATGGGAAAGCCCCATAGTGGAGAACATCGCCAAAGCATTGCTGGAGGCAGCTTCTGGGAAGGACAGAGCGTGTCTCCTAGCTGTGCACGCCCCCCATGCCGGAGACTTCCTGTTGGCAGTCCCTAATTCCGCCTTGGGCACCCGCCTGGACCATCGGGCCCTAAGTATTGGTGTTGCCCTGTGCCTTGCTGCCCTTATCTCCACCAAACACCAGTGTATTTGCGGCTACGCACGGGCAGACCAATACGGCAGCCATGGTCTCATCTGTCGTAAGACACAGGGAAAGATTGCCAGACATGAAGCAGTCAATGACATGATCAAGAGAAGTTTGGTTATAGCTGGGTGTCCAGCACAAAGGGAACCTCAGTTGTGCAGACTTGACAACAGCCATGAATGCCCAGATGGAGTCACCCTGCAGCCATGGAGGGAAGGTAAACAGGTCGTATGGGATTACACATGTGCGTGTACATTGGCTGATACCTATCTACCTTACAGCACAGGTGAGGGAGGTGAGGCAGCCACCTTCAAGAAGACCCAGAAAACCAACAAGTACAGAGACCTAGAACGTTGTTACAGGTTCATGCCGATAGGCTCTGAGACTCTGGGCGCCTGGGGTAAATGTGCACTTAAATTCTTAAAGGAGGTGGGCGAGGAACTCGTCGGGAAAACTAAAGACTCGTGAACGGCCAGTTTCCTGTTCCAGCGCCTCAGTGTCGCAGTTCAGAGGGGAAATGTGTGCTGTATCCTGGGTACGCACCTAACCTCTGAGGAGGTTGGGGAACTCCCGCACCTTTCACAGTACAATGCAGAAGTTCGCGGCAGTTTGGCTGTTGCTTCGGAGGGTTCGTGTCGTTCGGGGCTCCACGATCTGGCTCCATTCGGACTGTTCTTGGGTGGTTGATTGCCTGAACCGCGGGAGTTCCTTCGGTCCTTGCCTCTTTGGGGCTGTTCGCTTCGGGTGGCTCTTCTGCTGGTTTCTCAGAATTTGGCTGCCAGGAGCAATGCCAGGGTGGCCGGTGCAATGGGTCCTTGGCTTCCCCCTCTATAGTAATTGGGGGAGTTCTGCCTTTGTGTAGTTTCAGTTGTAATTATTTTACCATGTGGGGTCTGTTTTGTTATGCCTACCTTTCTGAGTGCCTAACCCTAGTCGATGGCAAATTAGGAAAGCCCCCATCCACAGGGGAAGGGTTTCCAGGGGGGGCCATTGCTCCCTGTACCTCTCTGAGGAGGAGGGCCAGGTTCTGGCTCGTGGTCCCCAGAAGGCTGAACTCCAATGACTATTGCTTTAGTCTAATATATTGCATATTAGCCCGATAGCTCCAGGGAGCTTCTGGGGCTCGCCCAGAAAATGGCATTTCATTACATTCAACTTTTTCTTTTCTTTTTATTCTCTCCCCAAGATAGAGGACGGTTACTAGAGGCCTGAGGAAGCAAATGTGAGCCACTTGTATGTGCAGGATTTTTAAATCTTATGCGGTACTTTAAAATGGCTCCAGCCATACCTGTGATGATTTCGGCTTAGCGCCATAAGCGCAGTTTGTGGATAATGATCCTGCACGGCTCCAGCAGTGACACACAGTGGAAGGGTTCAAATATGCACAAATGCACATAATTTTATTTCAATTAAAAAAAATCTTGGAAATATGTGCCTGTATCAATGCCTGAGGAAATAGAATTCAGGATGGAATGGAAGGGGGGTTAGTCACAGTTACTAAATTTGAATGGGAGTATACAGAACTTTAGATCACATTATTTCCAACTTTTATAGGGTAGGAAATGCAACTACATCATTTAACTTTTTCAGATAAATATATGTGCACAAATAACATTCAAATTCTGTATAATCCACGACCAAAGAATTTTGAACAAGGTACAGGTTTTGTATTTTATGATGCTTCTGCATTTATTTATCATTATTCAGTAAAAGATGTTGATGCAAGTCTTCAGTCATTCAGACTGGCATGTTGTTAAAAAAAATTATAATGCTTAATTGTTGCTATAATAATTTACAGATATCAAGAAAATGGCATAAGTAGATGCTGATTCAGTAGTGTTAAACCCAATAGAACAGACATTGTACTTTGAAGGATTATAATGTTTAATGATTTAAGTTAAAAAAAATTCAGCCTCATGGATTTATTTCTTATCCTCAGGGAGGGAGTCCGAATCTCCAACATCACACATGTTCCTGAGTAATGGTGCAGCTGTTTAGTGCAGAAACAATAGTGTGCCCCACACTTTTTGTCTCGTCACATGTGGCTCATTCTTAGTTGCTGGTGCTGCTAAGTTCAAGTGTCACCATGTGAATACTAGTGCCACAGTGTAAAATGACACTATGTGGATTTTAGTGTCACAGGAGCAAGTGATGCCATGTGGAAACTAGTGCCACAAAGGAAGTGCATGTGGCATTCTTGCCATTGTCAAAAACATTTCTGATTAACATCTTGTGACATGGACATCATTGTCATAAGCTAAGTGATGGACAACTAGGTGGATCCAAATCTATCTGTGAATCATTCCTCTGTGAGTGGGACCTATATGCCAGATGGGTGTAATCATCTGTGCAGATTACATCACCAGAGAATGCTCCTTTCTTCTGAACCAAATAGGCCCTCTGTGAAATTTCTACTTTTCTCTCGTCTCTACCCTTCAGGGCAGAGGTATTTGTAAGAATACGACTTTGAAGAGGATTTCTCCCTTGCTGCAACACTCATTTTTCTTATTTTCCAGTTTCTGTCTTCCACAGGTTGGGCAATCTGCAAAAGGAGAACAATTTTACTCCTTAAGAGGTCTTTGCTCTGAATAGATACCATGCTGTAAGTGAAAGTGTATGTTTCATTCACCAGAGCACACCTCCATAAACAGGGAATTAATTATTGCCTTATGAATTTTTCCTGTCAAGAAAAAGGCATTGTTCATAAGAATTCCTTCCTGTGTATGTGGATCACTCTAAGAGTATAAATCACAGTAGGCTCCTAAAGTTGCCAGAACTGCTCATCTACAGTTGTTATGTGAGGCTGTTTAACTCCAATCACCTGTTTCAGTGTCATCATCCATTGTTTGTCGCTTCCACTTGCCACCACTGTAAATAATTATCTTTCCTTCTAGGAAAGCATTTTTCGTCCACAGGGTTGAAAAGTGTGAAGAAACTTTAACCGAGGTCAGACATTAAGTTAGCCGAACTACTGTTTTTTCTTGTTATGCATAGTGATTCGTGTCCAAACCTCCGTTTATTAATCTGAAATGTAGTTTATATACACCTGTATTAATTTTTGTCATGTTGACAACTTCAGTAATAATGCGCCTTAGACATACTTTACATAAGCTCATATATAAGACATAGGACAAGACAGATTTACAGTACTAATATTACCTAATGACAAATCCAAATGAACCTTATAATTTTGTACTTGGGACATTCGAAGATATTTCATCACCAGTAAGTGTGTATACATATTAGTAAATTAGATTTGTGCATTATCAGATGATATTTTTTGTACAATTATTGGTAATGTTGAACTATAAAGGTCAGTTTGAGCTTGTATTGAAAGATGGAATCAAGATACAGTACATGTATATATATTTATATACGTGTGTGTGTATGTATGTGTGTATATATATATATATATATATATATATATATATATATATATATATATATATATATATATATATATATATATATATATATATATATATATATATATATATATATATATATATATATATATATATATATATATATATATATATATATATATATATATATATATATATATATATATATATATATATATATATATATATATATATATATAATATATATATATATATATATATATATATATATATATATATATATATATAATATTTATATATATATATATATATATATATATATATATATATATATATAATATATATATATAATATATATATATATATATATATATATATATATAATAGAAATAAGAAAATTAGAAAGACATAGGACAAGACAGATTTACAGTAAGAAAAGAAAAGAAAAATAAAGAAAGAAAAGAAAATAAGAAAAGCACACAGAAACTGTATTGGAGGGGATCTAAACATTCCCTCTAATGCGTTATGCGTGGTTTCCTCCGAGGCTATGGGTCCCCCTTCTTCCAGCTAGAGGTGGTACTCCCTTCCATTTGAAAAAAAAAAATATAATATATATATATATATATATATATATATATATATATATATATATATATATATATATATATATATATATATATATATATATATATATATATATATATATATATATATATATATATATATATATATATATATATATATATATATATATATATATATATTATACACACACACACTTGGAGTGGAACCTCGGTCCACAAATTGGATCCGTTCCAAAAGACAAATCGTAAACCAAATATTCAAACACTGAATCAAATTTTCCCATAAGAAATAATGTAAATTGAATTAATCTGTTCCCACACACCCAAAAATATTAACTTAAAAAACATTTTATACAGAATACTACTCATATTTTTTAGTGTACTTTACCTTTATTGGGGGCTTTTGTTGGTGTAAGGAAGATGGTGAGGAGGAGAGGCGTTAGAAAGGCAAGTCCCCTTACATTATAACATCAGGCTGTGATGTCATTTCTGGGGTACTCTCTCCGATGTTTTGCAGGCATACCACTATGACCTGGTTGGGGCTCGCTGCTTGTTTGTTTCACTAAGAATCTGTCTATAGACACTTGTTTTTCCCTAAATTTTAACACTTGTCTGCCGTGAGACATCACATTGTCATTAAAAAGGTTAACACAGTGGTTTGGTACAGTTTCATCTGGGTGGGGTCTTTTCAGCAAAACTTGGCAGTTCTTCTCATACTGAACACATTTGCCTAGCCAGATCAACCACATGCATACTGTCTTCATGTATACAGTATATGAATGATCTCTCTCTTTTTTCCCCCTCTATCATCATCCTCACAACTATTTTCTTAGGTTGAGCTTTACCAATGACTTTCTTGGGACCCATGGCATGATATATAATAAGAACTTTTTTTGTTTATAAACAAAAAAGCACAAAAACAATGAAATTGTTCACAGAGAATTCGAGCATGGTCGTCACTAGGTGGGATACACTGGTAAACCGAGTGTGCCGCGCCCAACAGAACCCCCCATGCCTTACCATACAAGTATCAACAAGCGAGTCATATTTTGGAGCATATGTCGTACACTGGGTCAAATTTTAAGACGAAATTGTGATCGTACACTGAAAAAAGTCTGGGACATTCCTAGACCGAGGTTCCATTGTACTGTATATGTATATACTAGTGTCGTACCTAGTAGCCAGAACTCACTTCTTGGCCTATTATGCAAGACCCAATTTGCCTAATAGGCTGAGTGATTTTCTTTATTTAAAAAATATTGTTTCCAATTGGTTTATTTGTATTATTATTATTATTATTATTATTATTATTATATGTTAAGAAGATAAATTATTGACTTAGTTATGTTAGTTTAGGTTAGGTTAGGTAGGGTTATCTTGAGGTCATCTTGAGATGATTTCGGGGCTTAGCGTCCCCACAGCCCGGTCCTCGACCAGACCTCCTTTTTGTCACACCCACCAAAAAAACAGCCCGTAGCAGCTGTCTAACTCCCTGGTACCTATTTACTGCTAGGTAACAGGGGCATCAGGGTGAAAGAAATATTTTGCCAATTTGTCTCTGCCTCCACCGTGGATCGAATCGGGAACCTCAAGACTATGAATCCGAAGCACTGTTCACTCAGCTGTCAGGCACTCCTGACAGTTGAACTGTCAGGTGCCACTGACAGGATAGGTTAGATTCGGTCATATATCTACGTTAGTTTTAACTCAAATTATGACAAGTTAATTTATCATTTCATAAGAATTAAATTAGAAAAATATATACTGTGTATATATATATATATACTGTGTGTATATATATATATATATATATATATATATATATATATATATATATATATATATATATATATATATATATATATATATATATATATATATATATATATATATTCAAGAAAACTTGGCTTATTAGGCAAATTGAGCCTTACGTAGTAGGCTGAGTACTGCATTCTGGCTACTAGGTACAACACTAGTATATGTACTGTCTATGTGTATATATGTATATGTCATACCTAATAGCCAGAACACACTACTTGGCCTAGTATGCAAAGCCTGATTTGCCTAATAGGCAGTGATTTTTGTTACTTAAAACAAAAATCCAATTGGTTCATTTAAATTAATAATATTTTACTAATTTATGAACAAAAATTATTATCTTGGTTATATTAGTTTGTTTGATAGGTTAGGTTAGGTTTGATGATCTTTCTACATAGTTTTAACTCAACTTCATAAAATTAAATTATATATAAAATGTAATGGAAAGCTTTATCATTTCATAAGGACAATTTTTAGAGAGATATATAACGTTAGGAAAACTCGGCTTGTTAGGCAAATCGGGCCTTACATATATGGCCGAGTAATGCATTCTGGCTATTAGGTTCAATATATATATATATATATATATATTTATATATTTATATATTTATATATTTATATATTTATATATTTATATATTTATATATATATATATATATATATATGTCGTACCTAGTAGCCAGAACGCACTTCTCGGCCTACTATGCAGGGCCCGATTTGATTAATAAGCCAAGTTTTCATGAATTAATTGTTTTTCGACTACCTAACCTACCTAACCTAACCTAACCTAACTTTTTCGGCTACCTAACCTAACCTAACCTATAAAGATAGGTTAGGTTAGGTTAGGTAGGGTTGGTTAGGTTCGGGCATATATCTACGTTAATTTTAACTGCAATAAAAAAAAATGACCTCATACATAATGAAATGGGTAGCTTTATCATTTCATAAGAAAAAAATTAGAGAAAATACATTAATTCAGGAAAACTTGGCTTATTAGGCAAATCGGGCCTTGCATAGTAGGCTGAGAAGTGCGTTCTGGCTACTAGGTACGACATATATATATATATATATATATATATATATATATATATATATATATATATATATATATATATATATATATATATATAAAACACACAGTATATTGTATGTATGTATATACAGTACATATAAAATGTATATGAACATAATGTAGTATTGAAGCTGAAAAAGGTAATCATTGAAATTTCTGTTCATAATTCAAATAATGGAAATAAATTTAACCAGACACAATTTGCCATATTGGACATCATATTTTCCCGGTCTGCAATATTTATGCTTATTGAACATTATAATCAAGTTTTATTTTTATACTAAATCATTGTTGAATATGAAATGCATATTTATTTAATAATTTTTTATCTTTATTAACAAATTTACAAATATTCCCTTAAATTTACGTACAATAATAATAATAGGGAACCTGTCAAGAATGTGATCATTGCCCCTTGATATTTACTGTATATCGTCTCTATATGGAAGGGGCAAAAATTGCAAGTACTAGTGACAAAATAGTCTGATGGAATTCAATGAAAATTTTTGTTTTAGTATTGTCCTATTATGTGGTTTGATACCTTGCAATATGAGTTGTGTTTTTTTAATATGACTAAATGGAGTAGTGACTATAGGAAGTACCATATAAAGAGATAAAGGCTATGCTTTATTATTTATAAAAGAAATGAGGATTGTGAGTTGGTAAACAAAAAATGGTCACTATATATAAAATAGAAAAATAATGTAATATCTTTAATGCTGGTGATAAATTACCGTGTTGAAATAACTTCAAACTGTAAAATTGTTGTTAAAGAAAGAAAAGCTTTACATGTTTGCAATCAACATGTTATTCTTTAAGTTTCTAAAAGCTTAGTATTGATATCTGATATTCGAGATTAGTGATGAACTAAAATAAGTTATTCTTTTGTGATTGAGGTTATAGAGAAACCAATTAGTAAACAAAGTGTAATTGTTTTATTAATAAGTTAAGGATTTATCCAGATGTGTATTCAGTAAGTAAAGGCTCTATTTGCAGATTATGATTATAGTACAGTATATGAATACTTTCTCCCGATTGCTTATCCTTATTCAGACAGTTTCCGTAATTTCTTTCCATATTGGTCCATATTTTTAATGTTATTATTAACACTTTATTGCTAAATATCGTTTTCCAGCTATACCTAGTCGATTCTCAGTTTTTTTTTTTATTAACACCATGAATCATCTCTAGTATACCAAAAATTAATTTCAAAAATATTTTCTGGGGAAACTTTACATTCTTCAGGTGGTGGCTATATGTAGAGTTTTCATAAGATGATTCAGATGCCTTAAAGTGTTTACGATTAGGAGGAGTACCTGAAACAATTCTCAAAGTATTGTACTTTGGTTATAATAAAAGTGAAGGAATATCCACATAATATGCTGAAAATTTTGATTTCATCAGCAGACGCATTCAAGTGAGAAAGGAGAAGGGAAATGGAATGAACGATAAGCACAGTAAATAAAACATTAAATTGGATAAACAGTTCTTAAATGGCACAATAGAGGTGAGGAAATGGAACAAAATTAAGGTTATACTAAATTGAGCAATACCCAAGGAAAAAAAACTATCATTAGGATAGG